TATATATATATATATATATATATATATATATATATATATATATATTAACATTCTATTAATAAGTACTGGCTTAATATATGAACAGAAATCAAATCTCATTGGCTAAAAGCGGATATGTATCTTATAATAAACCAGTGAACGACGGGCTCAGAACGATGAGTTCAAATGTAAAGAAATATTATTTTAACTATCAACATATTCTAGTTTTGCTTCACAAAGAAAGATAGCTGCGCCCCATTAGTTACTCGACCAGTTTCTTGGTTCAAAGTTTAAAAGCAATACGATTAAAGTCTGTTTATAAAGATCTCACCTCAAAGACAATAAGTAGTCCACAAAGACATATCTGAAGACCTTGACTCGTGTACGTGACAACCATATGTTTACTAGACATGGTGAAAATGCGGTACACTCTAATGGCCTTCATCAGCATCGTCACGTACAAGACGTCGAAGCTGGTGGTGAAGAGCAGGACGCCGATAGTGCACCTGAACGTCGTCGGCCTGTCTAAGACAACGGGCACGGTGAGATAGCCGATGCCTATGAAAATCAGCTGTATCACGCTGAGCTCGATGCTAGAAGCTTTGATTACCTGGTTCGTTCTCTTCTTCCAATACACCCACAGGATGAAAATCACGGTCAGAATGCCCATAGTGGCCACCGTGTTCAAGACGATCGAGGTGGTAGAAAACACGCGAAAGTGATCTGGCGGTATCCTCCCGCACTCCCTGGATCTGTTCCCCAGGAGATAAGGCCAGTGCAGTGTGGGGCATTGCTCGCACGTCCTCAGGTTGTGGCCAACGACTTCATTCTCTTGACATGCTCTACAAATCCAGCAACACCGAGATATGGCGTAGCGGTACTTGTGTAAGGAGCATGGCTTCGTACAGAACGTTTGGGGTTGGAGCCTTTCGTATGGAATAAGTAACTGTGACCTCATGATGGGGTGTAGGATCGTCGTGGTGTTGGTCTTCAAGTTGTATTGCGCTATTTCTAAAGGTTGTTCTCCCACGTCGTAAGCAGATTGAATCAGTGAGTACTTCTCGTGGGCTTGTCCGTCCAACGTAAATCCAAACACGTGAGAGCTTCTTTGGAATGAGACGTTTTTTAAATACGGTACAAAATCGTCATAGTTGTCATAAAAACATTTTGAGACCATTGATCCGTACAGGCCAGGGCATGTGTCTTTTATAAATGCATCGATTGCGTGGGCGAAGACATAAGGGCAGTCGTACATCAGAGAAATGACCATGTCCGTCTTTTTCAAGGCTTTTTCGAGTACTCTCTTAATGCACTCAGGCCTGGCGCATTCCTCATGGGCCTCCAATGCATTCATAAACCAAGGGTTCTTGTTGTCTGTGCCAAGGCCAATAAAATACTCCTTAAAACCCGAGACAGGTAAACTCTTGTAATGCACGCCAACTGAGCCCCGGGGGGCAGTGTCTTTAAAGATGTGTTCCTCCCAGTAGTCATTGGCTATCCAGAGAAACTGACCTTGAAAAATGGAGTCCTTCACTGTTGTCATAACTTGTTGGGCGAGTATCTCACCGCCCATGAAGACGATTACCCTTGAAGCGAGATTATCGTCGAGGAGATCTCCCAACATTTCGGTCAAATTTGTGTTCTCACCGAAAATTAGTTTGTTCGATATGCAGATTTTCTTAAAGACCAAGTTACTCCTCAGTTTGTTGTAGAGCGCCAGGGAGCGAGGTGTTTTGTCAAATATTATAGACACATAGTTCATGTCGTGAAGTCTTAGGAAGTCGGTGAGCGCTATGATCAAATATGTGTCCGACGCTAATACTCGCCAAAAGTTTGGGTAAAGTCGCTGAAGTAACATAGAAAAGGTAATAGAAAATAAATAACAGCTTAAAGTAATGTCTGATGGATTTTAAAAAAAAAAAAAAAAACTATTTTAACGGACTATTTGTAATCGATCTGTTCCATAAATTAATCAATGTAAATGTGCATTTTCAACTTTTATCGCGATATAATTATTGACTTATGATAAATTTATAATCCAATTAAGAATGTTCAAATGGGTATTAATGAACAGATGAATCTTATTTTGTTTTTGTTTTTTTTTGTTTTTTTTTTTGGGAAGCTCATTTTATTCAGTTAAAGATATTTGCTGTCCTGTCTGTGTCCAGTTGAGCACATTTAAATGTCAAGTTAAGTGAGAGCAACATTGTCACTACACAATAAATGTAATGTGTCTACAGCGATGCCATGATCTAACTAAACAGAAAGCCATCATACCTTATTACTGAGTGCGTCGCTGGATGCCCAAAAGCTAACCAGTGGTATGTTAACAACACTCAAGACTTGGGCTACAGGGCCAGAGGTAGCACTTTCGTCCGTACCTATGACTCCAACAACTTTATACGATATAAAAGGATTTCCATTGGCTGTGAATTATAAGTGAGATATGAACACAGACACAGCGAGGAGGTTAGATTTCCGCATGTCCTCTGACGAAATTGAAGAACAACAAAAAATATATAAAAAAATAAGGAAGAAAAACGTATGTATTTCATCACTGTTTTAAGTTCTTTAACATTTCCACAAATCTTTACATACACATGGTTGCTTTTTTTTTTTTTTTTTTTTTTTGTGGGAACAGCGTAGACGAGAAAAAATGGTATCAATTTTATAGAGCTGATCTTGAACATGTTTCGAGATATACTTAAATTCACCCTCCACCCCCCATCCCACCCCAATCCGACAAAAACCTGTATGGCAAATACAAAAAGTTAACATGAAATAAAAACTAGAAGTGTGAGATTTGGTTTGAAAATAATTTGAGATAATGTCGTAGAAACGGTGGTGTTTAGATAGCGTGTCATGATTTGTGTTGGAACTTGATTGTGTTGAAACGTTGACACCGGTCCAGGTCTGGAATGTCGAAAAACACTTTTGAGAATCGTAAAAGAAATTACGTTCTGAATGATGCAGGTGGACCAGTGGTTTGCACATCTTAACAGACTTCTATATTGGAAATAAGCTCGGTTTTTTTCTTTTTTAAAGAAAGAATTACTAGCGAAGAAAATCGACAAACTCGGATGTTTAACATCATATTGAATTAAATTGCTAATGTCAGCGATTGGGTAAGTATAATGCTATTTTATAAAAATTAAAATAAGTTATTTTTTGTTTATTTTGAAAATGAATTATAAATACGAATTGAAACAGCTGTTCATTTCAATACGCGTCTTGATTGTATTTATAGAGTCTAAATGCTACGATAGCTTCTAATCTGAGTACGTCACAAATATCAATACATCACATTCACCGTCTCTCTTTAATGATCTCTAATGACGTTGTGCTGTACCAGTGGTTCCCGTGTTTTGTGAGCCTTAACAGTTTGGTTATTATGCAATGATTTTTTTTTTAAACTTTATAAACAATTTAAAAATGTATCCTTAATTTAGATAAAAATCAATAAAATTTCTTAAATTATAAATTAAAAAAATAGCTATAGATTAATGATCAGCAATTTAGACTTCGATACACTTGCTTAAGGCTGACGGACCCATGAGCGTAGATTTTGTCCAGAGCCGTTGAGGTCATTATGCCAACTGATAGATTCATCACTTGTACTCCCCAGGTGCTTCACCAACATCCACATCTTAACACGTGCATTAGGTAAGGTGAATCACGAAATGCTCGAACCACTGTGTAGGCGCCTTTACTCCAAAACTAAGCACGTTTATAAGTGACAGTAATACTATGTAGGCAACTTTACTCCCAAAAGTAAGCACGTTTATAAGTGACAGTAATACTATGTAGGTACCTTTACTCTCAAACTACGCACGTTTATAAGTGACAGTAATGCTATGTTGGTACCTTTACTCCCAAAATAAGCATGTTTATAAGTGACAGCAAAATTATGTATGCGCCTTTACTCCCAAACTAAGCACGTTTATAAGTGACAGTAATACTATGTAGGCAACTTTACTCCCAAAAGTAAGCACGTTTATAAGTGACAGTAATACTATGTAGGTACCTTTACTCTCAAACAACGCACGTTTATAAGTGACAGTAAAATTATGTATGCGCCTTTACTCCCAAGCTAAGCACGTTTATAAGTGACAGTAATACTATGTAGGCGCCTTTACTCCCAAACTAAGCACGTTTACAATGGACAGTAATACTATCTAGGCGCCTTTACTCCCAAACTAAGCACGTTTATAAGTGACAGTAATACTATGTAGGCGCCTTTACTCCCAAACTAAGCACGTTTACAAGTGACAGCAATACTTTGTCGGCGCCTTTACTCCCAAACTAAGCACGTTTTTATAAGTGACAGTAATACTATGTAGGCGCCTTTTCTCCCAAACTAAGCACGTTTATAAGTGACAGTAATATTATGTAGGTACCTTTACTCCCAAAAGTAAGCACGTTTATAAGTGACAGTAATACTATGTAGGGGACTTTACTCACAAACTAAACACGTTTATAAGTGACAGTAATACTATGTAGGTGACTTTATTCCCAAACTAAGCTCGTTTATAAGTGACAGTAATACTATGTTGGTACCTTTACTCCCAAACTAAGCACGTTTATAAGTGACATCAATGCTATGTAGACACCTTTACTCCCAAACTAAGCACGTTTACAAGTCTTGTAAACGTGCTTAGTTTGGGAGTATGACAGCAATACTTTGTCGGTACCTTTACGCTCAAACTAAGCACGTTTACAAGTGACAACAATACTTTGTCGACGACTTTACTCCCAAAGTAAGCACGTTTATGAGTGACAGTTATACTTTGTAGGCACCTTAACTCCCCATCTAAAGAAGTTTATAGTTGACAGTAATTTATGAAATGCTCGAACTACTACCTAGACAATCAACTTATTTATAGAAGCTGCAACTTTTAACTGGTAAAGTTGGTTGGAGATTGGGCAACTTATTTATAGAAGCTGCAACTTTTAACTGGTAAAGTTGGTTGGAGATTGGGCAACTTATTTATAGAAGCTGCAACTTTTAACTGGTAAAGTTGGTTGGAGATTGGGCAACTTATTTATAGAAGCTGCAACTTTAAACTGGTCAAGTTGGTTGGAGATTGGGCAACTTATTTATAGAAGCTGCAACTTTTAACTGGTCAAGTTGGTTGGAGATTGGGCAACTTATTTATAGAAGCTGCAACTTTTAACTGGTCAAGTTGGTTGGAGATTGGGCAACTTATTTATAGAAGCTGCAACTTTGAACTGGTAAAGTTGGTTGGAGATTGGGCAACTTATTTATAGAAGCTGCAACTTTGAACTGGTAAAGTTGGTTGGAGATTGGGCAACTTATTTATAGAAGCTGCAACTTTTAACTGGTCAAGTTGGTTGGAGATTGAGCAACTTATTTATAGAAGCTGCAACTTTTAACTGGTCAAGTTGGTTGGAGATTGGGCAACTTATTTTTTGTTCATCCTTCGCAAATTTCGCTACTGTCTTCCGACTTTCTCTATTGTTATTTCAAGACAAGGGTTGCGTAACCGTAAGAGTGAAAGAGTGTGGTCCTGCGATCTCTTTAGTACGTAGTTTCTGGGCTAAGTTTGTTAACAGGACTTAAGGTGTTAATAGGATGAGTTGTATCCACGATTGTCATGACTGTTTGACTTACGGTACAAATGGGATGAGTTGTGTTCTTGGTTGTTATAATGACTGTGGGCTAGTTGTGACGCTATAAGAAAGGGACGTAATTAATAGCTGAACGCACTTTGTGTCGGTGAGGAGGTGTATCAGTCATACCCTAGTCAACACCACGTGATTGGGTGTATGACTCATACCCTAGACAACACCACGTGATTGCGTGTATGGGTCATACCCTAGACAACACCATGTGATGGGTGTATGAGTCATACCCCAGACAACACCACGTGATTGAGTGTATGTGTCATACTCTAGACAACACCACGTGATTGGGTGTATGAGTCTTAGCCTAGGCAACACCACAAAACAAGTATTTGCAGAACTCATTCTCGACAGAATCATAAAGCATGGACTCATAAAGCATGGGCTCTCAAAGCATGGACTCATAAAGTATGAACTTACAAAGCATGAAAACATAAAGCAGGGATTCATAAAGCATGGAATCATACGGCATGGACTCATAAAGCATGAACTCGCAAAGAATAGACTCTTAAAGCATGGACTCGTAAATTATGGACTCTTTAAAGTATGGACTCATTAAGCATGGACTGATAAAGCATGTAATACAGCATGGACTCATTAAGCATGTAATGGAGCATTAACTGATAAAGCATGCAATAAAGCATGGGCTCATAAAGCATGGACTCACAAAACATGGACTCATTAAGCATGTGATGATAAATCATGGACTCTTAAAGCATGGACTCGTGAATCATGGAGTCTTAAAGCATGGACTCGTGAATCATGGAGTCTTAAAGCATGGACTCGTGAATCATGGAGTCTTAAAGCATGGACTCGTGAATCATGGAGTCTTAAAGCATGGACTCGTGAATCATGGAGTCTTAAAGCATGGACTCGTGAATCATGGAGTCTTAAAGCATGGACTCGTGAATCATGGAGTCTTAAAGCATGGACTCGTGAATCATGGAGTCTTAAAGCATGGACTCGTGAATCATGGAGTCTTAAAGCATGGACTCGTGAATCATGGAGTCTTAAAGCATGGACTCGTGAATCATGGAGTCTTAAAGCATGGACTCGTGAATCATGGAGTCTTAAAGCATGGACTCGTGAATCATGGAGTCTTAAAGCATGGACTCGTGAATCATGGAGTCTTCAAGTATGCACTCATTAAGCATTGACTCATAAAGCATGGACTCGTGAATCATGGAGTCTTCAAGTATGCACTCACTAAGCATTGACTCATAAAGCATGTAATAAAGCGTAGATTCACTAAGCATTTAATGAAGAATGAACTCATGATGCATGGACTTATAAAGCATGGACTCATTAAGCATGGACTCATAAAGCATGGACTCTGCCGTCTTTTCCACATGGATACAACGCCAGACCGTTTGTTTATTTCAGTTTCAGAAAATGAAAATGTTCCTATTCATTTATAAATACGGATTCAGAAACATATTTCAGCTTCGCCGACGCATAGTTCCCAAAGTAATTTATGCAAATTCTAAATATTTGATTCATATCTGAAGCGCTTACAACCCTCAGTCTAAATCTTATTGAAAAGTCACCCAAGTCAAACCGTGTACAGTAAAAAAAAATCTCAACGCTAAAGTTATCTGTAAAATCCCAGGAATGACGACTTTGGTGAACGATCAGATGAGCAGACAAAACTGTATGTTTAGGTTACACACCCATGTATGAAGTTGATAGCATTCGCGGAAATATATTGTACCTAAAAATATGGGGACTCAAGCCCTCTACTCCAGGAGACAAGCAAGCCCTCTACT